TAGTGAGAGGTGATGAGATGAATAAAATAAAAAAAAATTTTAGGAATACGACAAACCACTACGGATTTATAGCAGAAACGGTACTAAACAACCAATTGTACAATTAATATACGATTCACTCATATATTTGAACCAATCAAGTGGCGTAACACTCCGATCTCCGAATACCGAATACCGAATAGCGAGACCAGACCAAGTTCCCGAATACCGAGATACTCGAATACCCCGAATACCGAGACCAGACCGAGTCTCCGAATACCGAATACCGAGACTAAAACGAGCCCCGAACACCGAGATACTCGGTCCGTCCCATGCCTACTCACATATATTGTGCAGGAAAAATTTCGGTTTTTCAGGTGGTGTATCTGACGGACGAAAAGCGGTGGGGTTGCCAGATTCTGTACCTGAAGCTAGATATTTTCAAAGGCATTTTTTTGCTTGGGATATATGGAGCTACTCCTTAACTGCAGTGGGAAAGTCTGGCCAAAGATCCTGCAATAGCGAAGCATGATTGAGTAAGAGTCTTAAAATTTTGAAAATCGGATAACGTTACTCCCCGCAGTCGGTCATTATGCACAGGTTTTATTGCAAAAGTTTTTTTCATCATGCATTTATTGTTGCTCTTTTTTGACCCATTAGACTGGAAAGTGAACTTTTTCAGATCAGCAAAAACTTTCCGTATAGTTGATAAAAATCTATTCTCACACTGTAGAAGCATCGACGAAGAAAATGAAAATCATATCAATCAACAGAAGAGAGTACGAGCTACATTGTGTTAAAAAACTAATTGGCTATTTTTGAAATATCTTTTCTCCCGGGGAAGGTAAACATTTTTTTGATATCTTTGCGTCATCACGTAGTCAAGTAGTTACTGTATACGGGTATGAAAAGAGAAATCTAGACTTAAGTTGAGGGAGAAAAATGGGTTTCTGAACATTAAAATCGACTTTCCATCTATAAAAAACAGTTTTCATCAAAAACTAACGTCATATTTATATTCATCGTCAAAAACTACGTTTAGTGATGTGTCGCTCGAAGTCCAGCAAAAATGCGTTTGTCAAGTGTTTAATGAGTAAATGTTGATTTTAAAATTGATGATAGTATTGTTAAACGTTTCCAAATGAAGTATTTCATGTATTTGTTTTTTTGAAAAATCCTTTACATGTAATCAAAAACGTTTATTCTCAAATTCATTACACAAATTAAAAAATTTCTTTTAGTTTTGTAAAATACGCCTTTGTTTTGGAGAACAATTTTTATCAAAAACAAAAAAAAAGATTGAATTCAACAACAATCATTTCACAATTAGCGTGTAATCTTTAATTTTGGATAAAGAAATAACTAAAATCTAGTAATAAATTCGTTTTGTGGTTTAATTTTTATATTTAATTTTCTTATTCTAATCAAGGAGTATAGAATCATGATCAAAATAAGAATAATAATAATTAATAATATTGTAGCAGAAATAATTGAATAAACGTAAATACCACGATCATAACGTGATATACTTTGAAAATGTAATTTTAATTCTCTTGTTGAAAATATAAACATTGTTACTAATGTAATCGGTTGTAAAATAAATATATTGATAATAAATAAAATTATATACCAATAAATGGAAATAGGCGAATATGAACTTTTAATAATGGGTGTATATTGACATATTAATATATAAAAGAAGTCAAATTTTGATAAGACAGGTTGACTAAGAGCATTTCCCATTTTAATATCATTATTATCATTTTCATTTAAAAATTTATTTTTCATATCTAATGATACATCAACACATAAAGCACCAAGAAAAAAACTTAATGTTGTTAATATTTCAAAATATATTTTATGATAAGGAGATTGTGAATTTAAAAATAAAAAAAATATTTGATTTAAATTAAGAATAATATATAAAAATAATCGACATATAACTCCACATAAACGTATTGTCCACATACGTTTTTTATGTTCAGGATCAATAAGAAAAAATGAAATTATTAAAAGTAATGCTTCAAATATAAAAAATATATACGCAACTAATGTTAAAGTATTTGATTTTAATATTAATGAATGTTCATCAATACCAAAATAACTAATATTTATTCCAAATAATGTACCTTTAAATACAAGAAGATAAGAAAATAATTCACCAATTTCAATAATTAATGATATTAATAAACGTAGACGAGGATTTAATGTTAATGATTCAAGAATAAAAATTGTACCAATAGCAAATAGAATATAAAAAAAAATACGTTCATCATGTTTATTTAAATTAGCTTGATGTGTTAAAAAATAAATATAAAAATGTTCACCTAAATTAGTTAAATCAATTATAATTGAACTAATATCAATAAATAAATTTTTAAATTTTCTATTATATAAAATGAACATATTTTTTAAAAATATTTATCTGATAACGATAATGTTAAAATTAAATCTAATCTATTTGTATATAAATAAATAGATCAATAATGTCAGTCATAAATATATAGAAATGATATTTGAAATGTGACTCATACACTCATATACGGTATTATTTTTTCTACATGAATCTATTTTCATTCTTTTTGTATTTTTTATCTGTGTAAAAAGACATAAAGGAAGAAAAAAAAATTTACGATGAAGAAATATAACTATTCTATTTGAATAGGTATTTGATTGACTTCTTCATACAATTTTATAACAATTTTCTATATATAAAACGATTCTTTCTTACCTGATGTCGAATTTTTATTCAGCGAATACTGCACGATATTATCTTTAAAAACATCAATTAAAACAATTAATAAAAGTTCAAGTAGAACATTGAAGGACTCACAAACGTTGGTCTCTGGATCCTAATGTTTTGCATTGAGCTCATTCGAATAACAGGACCGATCAAGAAATATTTTCAACTATGTAATATTTAGACTTGAGGAAATTTTTTTAACTTACGATTCAAAAGTAATTAGACAAATGTCAGACATTGTTTCTACGTGTTTTCGATATGCTATAGAGTAAACTTTTTTCTTTCGTTGGTAAGAGTAAATTCTTACCTTTACAAAACATAGAAAACAAGATTATTGCGCAAAGGATAAAGGATGGTTATCACCTACCCATACCCATACCTATATGTACACCCTACCTATCCATACATACCTGTGTGGACCCATACTTACCCATATGTGGCCATACTTGCCCATACCGACTTATGCCTTCACGTTGCAGCAACACTATTAAGGATCCCATCCCCCCTTCAGAACGTATCTGCGACACCGTACATCCGATCTTGACGAAACTTTCCATAAATGTTAGGCACAATGAGAACAATGGGAATGAAAAATTTTTTTGTCTCCAAGTCTTACGGTTTAAAAGTTCTCCAGAGATCAGTGTCCAAAAAGGATCCCAAAGCATTTCCCAAAACTTTTCTACATACTTCAAATTAGAGAGTTTGGGTTTGCTTTATTTTAAACTGGACACCTAACCACATGGGCTGACAGCGCCGATTTTTCAATAAGGTCTTTGTTCGTCTTGTAGACAACCGACAACCTTAAAAACCCGAAAAACGCTTTGTGATTTTCTAGAAATCATCAGTTGGACAAAAACTAAGATCTAATTGAAAAATCGACGCCGGTCAGCCCATGTAGCTGGATGCCTGGTTTAAATTAAAACAAATCCAATCTCTCTAGCTTGAAAAAATTTTGGGACATAAGTTACTTCAGGTGTAACTCACGTGCTTTTTTGGCGATGTTTGAGTTTTAAATTTTTTCTCGCTCAAACTGAGTTCTTATCGATGTTTTATGAAGGTTAGACTCGGCTTTTTCCAATTGGAAAGAAAACTGACTCTGTCGCATATCGAAAACATGCAGAAGCAATGTTGACATTTGTCTAATTACTTTTGGATCGTAGTTTATCATACTGATACTGCCGTTGACAAGTACCTAGACTCAGAGAACTATTGTTCAATTGCTTATGGTCAGCGGGAAATGTCATGTCTCTCTACGTATTGATCCCTCTTGATTATATGCCTGATAAATCAGTTATTGTTATTGGTTCTTGAATATTATTGGTCGTGAAACTCAATTTTCTGATAATGTTCTGGCGCTATCAACATCCAGTTAATGGAATTCAATAATAACTAGGCGTGGATGAAATTTTCTTTGCCCTATCAGTGGTCATATAAATGAGTGTTTTGTATTTTATTTCATGTATTAGATGTCGAATGTAATGTGTTTTACTACTATAAGGTATTCCGTGTAATAAAACAATGCTGTTTCCTTTCTTCTTATTTAAATCTTTAATAATTCTTTTTTCATGAGCAAAAAAAAGTTTTTATTGTAATTCAATGCGATATTAGTTATCTATCGCTTCTTAAGGTTACCCTCCTCTTTTTTGAAAAAATTTCGGATGTTTTAGCTGAGCATAGTCTAATGTAGAGGAAAGTGTAGTCTACAAAATGAGACCACTTCCAACACTCCATGACCTTTGTTCAAAAAGGTATGCATTTCTAAAGTTTTTCCTTCAAAGCCTGAAAAAACTCAATTTTTTAGTTTCATAAACTTACACGTAGCCTGATAAAAGAAAGTGTTTTCTTCACAATGAGACGTCTACCAGAATTTTCCGATGAGTTTCCGGGGAGATATAAGTATCGCGGCAAATGCTATGAAAAAAGTGGCCTATGTACAAAACGTGTGTTTTTTCGAAAACTATTGTTTTGCTACCGAGCTTCATTGGACCACATTATGGTCCCCTTAAATTTCAGCCGATCGAGTTAAAAATTTTACTAAAGGTATTCAAGACACTATTACAGAGGTACATTTTTGGAATTTTATTTTGGATCTTTCTTTAACGAGCTATGGGGTTTGTAAAATTGAACAACATGGTTTTTCGACATTTTTCAGTATTTTTCCTATAATTCGACCAGGAAAGATTTGAAAAAATTTTTCAAAGATATACCTCTGCGATATGACGTTCAGTACCTCGGGTAAAATTTTTAACTCGATTGTACAAAATGTAAAGGGAGTCGTCATGGTTCAATGAAAAACCGAGTTTTCTGGAAAAACTGGTGAACGGTAATAGTTAAAAACTTAAAATAAAAACGAAATAGTGCTCCATTGAATTTCCAATCAGTTCTGAAAATATGAAGCTTTCGCTTTATAGTTTTTATTTCACAGCATTTCTACGGAAAGCCCAAAAAGAGCCTTAACAGTGATACTACGCAAACGATATCCGTTACGATTTTTACATATCATGTCTAACTGAAAAATTTTATCCAAATACAAATTTATTTTTGATAATTTTTATACAAATTTCTGTTATTTCAGTAAATATTGAATCAATATGTCATCGGTATGGAAGAAGATAATCATTATCATAAATCAACTTTATATTTATTGCAATTATGATTATCGTATGTTAAACAAATAGAATCAATGTAAAATATAACACCGTGACCAAGATCTACAAGCAGTTTGTTCGATGATGATATTTTGTTGAACAAACATCTTTGTTAGATGATGTTGGTATTCAGAAAAAGTGGAGAATCCACCCATTAATATATAGAACTGTACAAAAGATCAAAGTTTTTTTATCGAAAGTTAATTAGTCGAAAGGACACCAGAAGTTACTAGATTTTGTTTTTGCACTAGGGATCTACCTATATTTTCGTAACCACCGTTTACTAAGGTCGACAAGATAATGTTAGACGATATTCACCATATACGAAATAAAAAACTACAATCGATCATCATCTAGCGTTTGTATATATTTTGCTGTTTTATGGTATTTCACATCATGTGTCTGTAATCTCTTACTGTTCGGGTTGTACTTAAAGTTTTAATTTAATCTACTTAAATTTGAAACGAGTGGAAAAAATTCGTCGTTACTATGTTTATAGTAGTGCATAGTCATCCAATTTACGAAAACTACATCTTGTTATGAAGCAATTTCTTAATTGATGATTGTGTGTATTCGACTGGTAGAACATGTTTTTACATATTCAAGTATTTTCTATAAAAGTAGAGTGGATCGCTAGTGAAATCGAGTTTATAGTAATGGTATTTCCAATAATTGATCACTGACGAATAAATTCTAAATAATAAACGCGACTAACTTTTCTCGAGCAGTTTGTAAACGTTTTTAAAAGAATCTGTTATTAAATAGTCATCCGGTTTCACGAATTGCACATGTCTGATATTGTTTTCTGTTGTTGAGACGTCTTTAGTTAACTGAGCGAAGAGTCAACTTTATTCTTCTCTCTGAATAACAGACCAATTTTTCCACTAATAAGTGGCGTTAACTCAATTATTTGTTTTATGCGTGAGGTTTCAAATGTACGAGGAGATGCTTTCTGAAACTCTTGTCTGACAATTGGCCAATGAAACTGTGCTTAGTAACAATTTTATCTGGAATATTTCTCGGTACAGTGAATAATAGAGGGTGAAAATATTTCTCAGTGCTATGATATCTCCTCTTGTCTGTTAGAAGGTGACAGAATCCGATTTTTAGCACCAGTTTGTTTGCAATCGTTTCTGATTATTTCAATATGATCTTTTACGGAGTTCAAACCTTCGTCACTTTGTATCACGTAAATTTTCCAGAAATTTTTACATAAAAATCAAAGAGAAACAGCAAAAAGGTAAGATGATCTTTTTATGATACGTCTATAAAATAATAGTTATATGCTGCCTTCAAATAGTCGAATATATATCATAAATAAAAATTAAAGAAGTCATAGTAGATATCTATTTAACTGTTTTATTACACCACTTTTGTTATATACATCCACCATTGTGCTGTTTCTCTCAAATTATTTTTGTAAAATGAAGGTATCAAACAACTTATTTATTGTCTTACTAACAGCCATACATGTGTTAAGCTTTTCGAAAGCCAATCGTTATTGTACAAAATCATGTGAATTCACAGTATCATTTGATTCAAATTCATTCAGTATTCCATCAACAAATTGTTCAACTCAAACATTATTTGACATTGGCTGTTATTCTCGTGCTGCAATTAATTTTAAAACACGATTAGTCACTATTGTTTATGACACTGATCCAATTCCACAAAATGAAGAATTTGATAGTAAAGTAGATCAATTTATTAATATTAATTTTGCTACAGAAGAATTTATAGTTACACGAATTTATTTATGTACAATTTATGATGATTGTGCAAGAAAATATACTGAATCAATTGTTCAAACTCTCATTGATAATAAACCAATTCTAAATGGCATTACATTGGCGTTGTATAACTCAGCTCCTTCAACAGATCTAAGTTGTTATGATCAACAGAATAATACAGTAACATGTTCTAGTGGTACGTGTAAATTAGAAATTGATATAATCGGTGACGATAATCCATATATACAAACATTGTGCTCTAATCAGTCACCACGTTTTTCTAGCATAATACTGCGTCACTATCCGCCGATTAGTTCGATTCAATTAAACGAGTTAGAATATTATTGTAACGTGTTTCAGTGTAATAGTTTTGCAGCAGCAAGGAACATTCAATCAATTATTGAGACTTATTTGGGTCTAACACCAACTGTCATCTGCACAAAATCATGTGAGTATACCGTCTCATTCGATGATCCAATAACAATACCAACGTCAAATTGTCCAACTGAACAATTATCGGCTTTTGCCTGTAATACTATTCTCATAATCGATTTTAATAAACGACTCGTTACGATAACCTATGATATAGATAAATATTCACAAAATGTTTTATTCGATACTACGATAAATCAATTTATAAACATTCAATTCGATGGACAAGAATTTAACGTACGAAAGATATTCAAATGTACAACTGGAAACGATTGTGCTATGATCTATGCAAAATCTATAGTTAAAGTATTAATTGATAATCAACCACTACTAGAGCAAATTTCAGCTGAACTCTATAATCCATTGGATGTAACTAATTTAATCTGTTATGATAAACAGAACAATACAATTTCATGCAACAACGGTACATGTTTACTCGATTTTGATATTTTTGAAGGTGCCAGTCCCATTATAGAAGCAGATTGTACGCCCAAAAAAATTCCATATTTTCGAAGTATTCTCTTCCGTCAGTATCCCACATACTCCAAGAGCGAACTAACAGAATTAGAATATTATTGTAATCAAGATCGTTGTAACAGTCCATTAACAGTACTGAAAATTCAACAAATTGTGAATGAATATTTTTCATTATCTGCCTTAATAGTACAAACCACAATTACCCCAACAACTGAGTATACAAGAACAACAATTACCCCAACAACTGAGTATACAAGAACAACAATTACCGATCCTAATTCTACTGCGTATTGCGTAGAACCATATATGATCATGTTCTATTTTATGATGTTATCCTACTGCTTACATTTTTGTATACGTTTAAGAAACTAGATTTACAATGCTTTAGCTCTTTATTTAATACGGACGATGCAACGAACAACGTTATCTTAACGGATATTATCATTTTTCACAAGTTCTTTTTTATGCTATGCAATCTTCATACCACTTGTTAACTCTTCTGATGTTGATTATCTATCTACTAAACAAAAATATCAACAACTAATCGTTAATGTGCAAAATCATGTGCATTCATTGTGTGATTTTGGTGCAGTCTTACGACTCTGTATGTTGACCAATGTAAGCAATGTCGGTGATTGTGAACTCCTTCTTCCTCTGATTTGTCGTGGGATAAATCCGTCACATGAAAGGCCAAGTATTACGGCAGAATGTACTAGGTAAACTTCAGAACTACCGCGTGGCGTGGAAGTTCTGAGAACCTTTGGATCAATATTTCTTTAGATGTGGTAATTCCGAAAACGGATGGAAACATGGATAATCGACCGTGCTGAGCCTCGTGAGAACATTTGCTTTTCAAAAAGGCTTCAAAAACCTAGTGAAAGCCTATATTAGGTGAAATAATCTCATTTTGCCTATTTTTATCTAAAATTGAAAATTCATAAACCAGTGAAGATTCATTCAGATTATGTCAGAATATCAACATATACCCTACTTTATCTACACTATACCATACAGTTCCACAAAAGCTTTAAAAATCAACCCAAAATACTTGGTTTTTGAAAAAGTTTTCTAGAAATCTTTAGAAGTAAAAAAATATTTTTCACTATTCTCAAGTAAATAATCGTATTGAGCAGGTAAAAGAGTACATCTTGATATTCTGAGATAATCTGGATGAATCTTCACTGGTTTATGAATTTTCAATTTTAGACAAAAATAGGCAAAATGAGATTCTTTCACCTAATATAGGCTTTCACTAGGGTTTTGAAGCCTTTTTGAAAAGTAAATGTTCTCACGAGGCTCAGCGCGGTCGATTATCCATGTTTCCATCCGTTTTCGGAATTATCACACCTAAAGAAATATTGATTCTAAGGCTCCCAGGAAATCTAATGCCACGACTAAACGACAAAAGATCAAGAGCTCGCTTAACTCCCATTTTGTAGAGAACACGCTGGATTATCTACTAATGGAAAAAAGCGAAAACATTTGCACTTCAAGGTTTTGAGCCATGACCTGATTTTTTCCAAAGATCTCTTAGAAAACCTAGTTGGAGAAAATATTTTCAAATCTTTTTCTGCCAGGAAAAGATGAGGGTGGGAGGTGAGGGTGATTGACAAATAATGATAGATCGAAGGAGCAGAAATTAAAAGGGAAAAGTTTAAAAAGAAAACGGAAAGACTTACCCAATTTTTTGAAAATTGGGTGCTCAGCATTTTTAGATGAAAGCAAACTTTTTTAAACTTCGAATGACACATCACTAAAGGCGGTTTTTAACGCTCAGCACGTCTATGGCATTAGTTTCGATGGAAAATGTTTTTTATGGCTGAAAAGCCAGTTTTAATATTCAGAAACTCGTTTTTCTTTCTGAACTTAAAAAGGTCGAAATTTCCCTTTTCATACCCCTATACTTGACGACATGATAACGCAAAGATATCCAGAAAATTATTTTTGCCGGAAAGATATTTCAAAAATAGCCCTGAGATCCAAAACATTAAAAGGTGGGTCAAATTCTTTCATTTAACCTACAGACTACACATAGTTCTTGGAGTTCTGCTACTTTATCTAGAACATTACTTAAATCACTGCTAACGTCCGCCAGGCTTGAGTTTTGAGATTCCAATATTTTAGGAAGTAGTCGAAATTTTATATATGTCTTATAACGCTTCGGAAACATTACGTTGTCCG